AATATTTTGTGATGGATTTTTTTATTATATGGTCGGTGAGGTAGGAGAGAATTATAGGTGTGTTTAGAATTTAGAAGTCAACAAAGTTTTTATGAGTTGTATTGTGACATAAAATTATTGGACTTTTAGGTTTGAAAAATTCGAAAAATATTTCTTTCAAAACAAATCTCATATTGCCAATGAAAGAATATGAACATACTTATTAGTCTCCTTTGTATGTTACTTTAATTTCATAACAAAGATGTTACATTTTACCTCAAAACTTTGTAACAATCGGATATTTGTATGCATCGAAATTCCAGACTAACTAGAATCTACATTAAACCATATCACGATTATGTAGCCATAATTAAGCATTTTCGTGGACATTAAACTAGTAGATTCATTGAATATTAAATTAGTAGATTCATTGGACATTAATCATAGAATCTACATTCATTGCATAATATTGTTTCTTTGAAAGTACGTAACTCTTGGACACTAAACTAGTAGATTGCATAACAAAGCTACACATATGTATTAATTAGTGTTCTTTATATGTTCCAAACTTCCAATCACATAACAAAGATGTTACATTATACAACAAAACTTTTTTACAGTTGGATATTTTTATGCATCGAAATCCAAATTAATCATAGATTTTACATTTAACCATATCAAACGATTATGTAACGATAATCAAGCATTTTCTCGATCGACATTCATTGCATAATATTAATGTTTCTTAGAGAATGTGACTACTCCTGGACATTAAACTAGTAGATTGCATAGCAAAACTATACATATGTATGTGTTCCAAAGATTTCAAGTCAAAAATAAAAATGTAGGGAAGAGTGGTCGGAGGAAGTGGAAACTTAAGGATCATAAGAATCCAAAAAGTACAAACGAGAAGAAGAAAAGTTATGGTATGGGCAAAATTAAAAAGAAACCCTACCTGCCTACCACTGATTTTTTTCTCATCACATTACCATTTATTTTATTGCATTTCACAATTTAATTGGTTGGTCCATGCTATAATTCAAACTAGGTGTACTATTGACTTTATTTAATTATATATACGTTTACATAAATATAGACAGAGACACACACAAGCTTTTTCTCTTGTTCAAGAAAGATCCATAAATTATGGAGTTTTGAGGATTTTATTATGTCGATGAATTTCTACTTTGATCATGTTATTTCATGGGCCGGGCATTTGCTAATGGGTCAGACCTGAAATTCACTTATAAAATTGAACCAAAAACCTCAAACCGGGAAAATCTAAACCAGATTGCATCGGACAACAAAACCGAA